CTTTGGAAGAAGTCACTTAAAGGAGAAAGTGATAGAGATCCATAAAATAAAGACTGTAATTGATGGAGTGGATAGGAATCAATTGTTCATTGCCCCTCAAATGGTAAGAGCCAGAAGGTATGGAATGAAGCCAGTCAGGGGCATGTTAATAATCAACAAAAGGAGACAGTTCTTCACCTGACAAGTTGTAGAAGTCCTTGTTACTAGATGATCTACATGTTAAAATTGTCAATGAGTTAAAAGGGAGCCTGGACAAATTCATGTATAAGAAATCCACTGTTGGTAACTAAGGGTGCAGAATTCATATTCAGCCTAGAAATAAAAAATAAAGTCCTGGAGAAATACCAGCTGTACTTGGCCTCTGGTTCATACTATGAGCCCACTTTCAGGTACAAGATACAAGACTAGGTGTGGCATTGGTTTGACCTACAAAGGCTGCTTTTATCTTAATATACTTTATATATTTATTCTGACTCAAGTCTTTTAATGAATTTTTTATGCTGACAATCTCTTACTCATGGGCACGCTCTCAGGCACATGGTGGGATTCTGGGGATTGTCCTGTGCAGGGCCAGGAGCAGGACTTGATGATCCTTGGGGGTCCCTTCCAACTCAGGATGTTCTGTGATTATATGCACTGGCTTGTTGGGCTGTTTTTTTCACAGGGGGTGAGATCAAAGGAAACATCTCCTGATATTTGAGCTTTTTGAAATACTATTTTAAATGTATCATTTTGCTTGTTTAATAGTGTAGATGACAGCTTAGGACTTACTGTCTGCATGATAGTTACTGTTCACAAATGATGACCTGGTCTAGTTAGTCCTGTTGGAACAATGTCCTAGAACAATAATAGAGAAATTCAGAGGGCAGTAGCATATGTGGATCTCAGAATAGCTGAGGTAAGGAAATTTTTAATTCATCTGATTAAATAATTCTTTTTCTAGAGTCATAATGCTACTATTCAAACCCATTTTAACTTGGATTTTAGTATCTTTTTCTTCCACTTTTCATTACCATCATATTATTAATAGGATTTTAAATCCACCCTGCAATGGTTTCCCAGAGACCATATTCTTTAGAGAAATAAGCCACAATACTGGAAATAGGGAGGTTTCTGAATTCTCTTTTCAGCTTTGTGACTGATTCACATGACTTTGAACAAACCATATAAATATCTGTGCTGTCTCTAAATTGAAGATAACAGCAGCCTTATAGGAATGCTTTTAAAGTAAACTATGTGAAACTCTATGAAGACTTAAATTATGATTTACTAGTGTTTTTGAAATACTGCTTTAGGGATGGAAAAGCATGCTAATGAGCCTTGGGTGAGTAGAACTAGTTATGTGTTGTGGTTGGCTCAAAGTGATCTGTCATATGAATCAGAATACGTGGGATGCAAGTGGAGTCTACGTGCAGATGGGTTTATTCTTTCTGTGTATTTCTCGTGGTTCTTCACGAGGAGCAAATGCCTGCTTTCACCTTGTTCAGTGAGAAAGCCTGTCCTAGGACCCCTGCAGAACTTCACAGGGACAACACTGTTTATTTTATCTGCATAACAGTTGCACTCTTAAGCCCCCAAGGAGCGTCTGGCCCCCTCTGACCTACCTGCCTGCCAGGTGATGCTGTGGTGTAGTCTGGGGTACAGTCCCCCTAAATGTGGCCGTGAGAATGCTCTGAGTTACTTCTCTGCAAGAACTGCAGTGCATCCATAAGGAAGGTGTTGCATGCCTAGGTGTTGCTCAGACATACATCTGAGATGTTGCCAAATTGTGCAGTGAAATCTGGGATCTGAGAAGCTCTGTGTTTTAACAGGTCAGGCGTACACTGCAGAGATATAAATAACATTTATACAGATGATTCAAACAGTCCTTGCCCTAAAGAGCTTCTGAGTGTCTAAAGCTGAATGGAAACAAGGCACTGCTCTGAGATAGGCAAAAGTTATTTCCTTTTATTACATATTTCTCACAGATTTTTTTTCCTTAGAGGTATTTTCTTAGAGAAGCCTAAACTCTAAGAACTTGGGTAGTAAAATGTGGTTTTTTTCAGTTTCTAGTAATGAAGTCACACATATTTACAGCATTATCATCTAAGAATCCCAAGTAGCAATTACTAATTACAAAGAGGGGGAAGATACTCCTCATTGTACTGAGGAAATAAAACCATGATGAATTAAGGAGACTTTCTCTGAATCACAAGAAACTAATGTGGAGCTAGAAATTGAGCCCAGACCTCCTGACATTCGGTTCACTGTTTCAGTCGTATGACCATCCTTTTCCAAGTATCCAATATGTACACAAGGCTCTTCAGTTTAGTCTTCATATTAGCTTCCAATGAAACTTTGCCCTTTCACTCATTTTAGCAAAAAGTCAAACATTTGCCCATTTGTCTCAATAGTAAGTAGAAACTGCTCTCTATACAGACGATTTCCTCTCCATTCACATGCTTCTCATCCCCGTATTAGAAGGCCAGCCTGTGTCAGCAAGGGCCTGTTTAAATTAGAAACCAAATAATATTTCAGGGATGCCTTGGGCTGTCTTGTGGAGAGGGTTCTTCGCAACCCTTGCCAGTTACTACTTGGTGGTCCTGCCAATCCTCGCTCAGTTTCAAAACAGAAGTTGCTCAAGCTGGAGCAGCGCTGCGAGCCGGGCGTACGCAGCTGGACAGCTGGTGAGCCAGGACGCAGCGAGGCCTGGCTGGACCAGGCACAATTCACCAGTGCAGGGACAGGGGAGTGGCACTGTCCTAATTGTTAACATTCCTCCTCTGCAAGACTTCTGATATTTATTTAATAAGCCCAGGCTCATAAAGTCTAAACAATTTAAGCAATCAAGTGGTAGCTGATGCGTATGTGGAGATAGAGATGCAGCCAGACTAAGTGAAGGGTGAAATGCTTAATTTCTGACTTTCCAAAGCTTTGTCTGGCAGTTGCAGATGAAGTAATACCTCAGGCAGCTGTGCCCACGAGTGCAGTATACATTGTGAGTACCCCAGGAGCTGTACTTCAGGCCAGGTTTGCACAGCCACAGCTCCTGTTTTACTGTCCATGACCTGTCAGCTGGCATGGTCTTCTTGGCCAGTTAGAAATATTGAACTCCTGATATCCTGATATCTCTTGCCAGTGGCAACAAAAATTAGGGATGTGGTATTGCTGTGTTCTCAGAGGGAGGAACGGCAGGTTCAGCAGAACTGGCTGAAACATGCAGCCATTCCCACAGCCCAGCAACATGTTTGTAAATAGGCATGCCTTCACATGTATAGAGTGAGCACCTAGAGACTGCTGTGTGTGGAGATTTGGTCTTTTCTGTGGAGCTGTAGTTGAGTATTTTAGCATTAAATGGGAAAAAAGCATCATTACATTCATTAGCATTTCACTCAGAATAATTTCCAACTTAGAGTGGAGCAGAGACATGGTGACTGGATGTTAAACTTTCATCCATGGGATAAAGAGGTCTGAGGTTCAAATTGGAAATGAGACTTCTTGGAGGGGACATGGGACAAGGGAGGAAAACTGAATTTTGACGAACCTGGGAGATGGCTTTTTTTAAAAAAAAAAGCGCATCAAAATGCATGATGTTTCTATACTTTCTCAAGAAAAATTTTATCTCCAGAAAAGAAAACATTATCTCTACTTCAGCTCATCTTTAAAATACACAAAGGAAAGGCGGCACAGAAAAGGAGAGTAATTTTAGTGATTGCACTTTCAATGTTCCCTCATTAATGGTCTTTTTCTAGTAAGAAGTCATTTACCATGTTGGATTCAAAGAGATCCACTTTGCATAGTTTTAGAGTAACTTTGTTAATTTTCTTTTGATACTTTCTGCTTATCAGCCCAAGGCTTATTGGCCATTGTGAGCTGAATAAATTGGTTGTTACTGCACTTGCAAACAGTTCAGCCTGATTACATTCATCTAAGCACCAATTTTACAGCTCTGTCTGTGGTGCCATTACAGGCCTTGAGCGAGCGAGCAGGCAGGCACCCTGCACATACCTCTCTCAGCATGGTGATTTACTGCCTCTGTCTGCTGCCTTTTACAGCTGTGTGCTGGCTAATGTCCCTGTCTTGCTGCTTAGCTTGATTCAGTCCTGTAATGCTACATCCTTAGTGTGGAATCTGAATCTGACTTTGCCAACAGGCTGGAAAACGGCTTTTCTAAAGTTCTTTTCCCATCTTCCCTGGGGTCACCTTGTGCTTAGAAAAACAAACAGGTCAGGTTCATAATAGGTGGACAGGGATACTTGCCTTTTGACCCACTTCTTTTTGACTAGTCTGTGTTCTTTGACCATTCTCCAGGGGTTCTCTTGTGTTTTGTTTTGACTTGGCCTGATAGCTGAAAGCTTTACTGTAAATTATTATTTTTGACAGTTATGACAATGATATTCCACTCTCCCATAGTATCCTCTGACCTGCAAGTATCAGAATGCACAAAGATATGCCCAAAATGTCACAAAAGAATGCACAACACATATAGCTATGAATTAGTTCAGATAAACAATGTAAGCAGAGTACAGTATCTCAAGGAGAAATGACAAGCACCACTGATTAGAATATTTACAGGGAGAAAAGGTTTCTGAGTATTTCTGATTGTGGAGTCAGTGCATTAAAATAGTATAGAGTAACAACTTGGCATTTTTCTGTAAGCTACTGAGTTGCATATGTAGGTGGATTAAACTAAATAACAAAATACTGGCCATTGAGATGGAAGGGTTTGAAGTAAACAAGGAAGGTGGGAGGAAGACAGAAGGATACTCTTAAAAGCATCTGGCTATGGTGGGTCTTGTGGAGACTGAATAGTTGATTCTCTTTTGCTACAGAATAAAAGGGAATAGGGGCCATGTGGCATCCTGGTTGATACCAGCTTATACCACTTGATGTGTGAGAGACAGTGGTTTCAGAATTCTGTCCTTATTTCCTTTGTTTTCTCACTAGTTCATATGATGTAAACAGAATAAAAGTACCATCCTTAACCCTGGCTGAAGGTTCACATGTTAATATTTTTTCAGGTGGAACTTGCAGAAATTTGCACAAAGAGCGAACGTTATATTGGCACAGAAGGTGGAGGGATGGACCAGTCAATCTCTTTTCTGGCAGAAGAAGGAACTGTATGTGGATATTTGTAATCTAAACTAACACTGTAATAGTGGTTTATGGAAACAAAAAATACCTTCACAGGTGTCTGGCAGAAAGACAAGACGAGAAACTGGCATACCTCAGTAAGCAGTATAAGCACCACTGGTGTACAAATGAAATGGGAATTAAATGTATAAACTTGTGTACAATTGAGTATGAGAAGTTTGAATAAGATGGGGAAAATGAGAAATGGCAAGGAGGAAGGAAAAGATGTACTCTAGAAGAGCACCAGGTTCCACATTATTTGGCTAATTCATCACTGAACTCAGAATGTTTCCCATATAATGAAGTCTGAATGGTCGGCATGCCTTGTATTCAGTGAAAATGGGATAATTATTACAAAAATGCTTTCTTGAAAATTCTCATAACCAAACAGTTCTAGGATGTTTTGCCAGGTTCAGTTGCAAAGACAATGGAGACTTTTTTTCACTAGTTTTGCTAATTCCAGACAATTCTGTGGCTGGATTCTGAGGTAGAAGGCATTTAGCTGTTTTAAACGTGGTGACAGAAGGTGGACTAGCTATGATAAACAGGACCTGCCAAGTTATGCCTGAGTGCTAGCAGTGGAATCTGCAGTGGAGTTCATCCCTGTCCAAGAAAATGCACAGGACTGTGACTGTTTCAACCTCAAACCTGTCAAAGCACTTTTATTGAAATTGATGGAGCCTTTCACAAAAACTTTTACTTTCCTTATGATTGTGGTATTATATCTCTACAGCTTTTGTTCCTTAGTGCCATATCTTGGATGAGCTTACACAGAACAAAACTATTTCCTAGAATTACACCAAACATTCAATGCCATCATGAGACACATGTGTTTTCAGTGTCACATCACCTGCACTTGCTCTGCACCTTCCCTACATTTTTATACTGTTAGCAGTAAAAACACAGCTACATCAATGATGATATATTGTTGGCATGCACACAGATGACCATGTAAGTGGAAGCTTTTCTAATATACAGAGGTGGTAATCAAAAAGACAAAGAAAATGTTAGAAAAGATTAGAAAAGAAATTGTGAACAAACCAGAAAATATCCTTGCTTCAGTTTACTTGCAGCCGAATGCAGTTCTGGCCTCCCATCTTAAAAAAATATACTAGAATGAGAAAAGTACAGTAAAGGACACTGAGGTTGATCAAAGCTATTATTTTATATGAGCACTTACTGAATAATTTAAAGCTTTTCAGCTTGGAAAACAAGAAGCTTAGAGGGGTGATACTTTGAAGCTTTGTAAAACCCCTAAATGAGTAAAGAGAAGGTAAATGGAGAATTCAATGCAATGCTTTTCATAACTGAAGAACTAATAGAAACACAATGACATTAGCAAGCAGCTTGTTAAAAACAAACAAGGAAGTTTGGGGTTTTTTTTCCAAAACATTCATTGTTAAATTGAGAAATACCGTACATTGTGGAAGGCAGAAGTTTTAAAAGGGTTCAAAAAAGACCTTCTTGGATACACTATTAGAGTATTAGCCTATTTGTAGCTATTAAACATAATAGTTGGATGTTTCTTCCAGTGTAAGAATAACCACTGTAATCTTTGCTTATGGGAAGCTAGAAAAATATACCCCCAAAAAAGATTGTTTTGTGTATATCCTATTTTTAATTCCCCCTAAATAGCCATTTATGGCTACTGTTGGAATCAGGACACTAGACCAGCTTAGGGGTACATTCTGATCTAATGCAGCAGTTCTTAAAGGGTATATTTAAATGTAAGCAAGTCTGTCTGTCTTGATAGTGACTCTGTGGTGTGGTCCAGAATCTCAGTGGCAGGGAGTAACACACATGCTGTACATAATGTACAAGCAGATTTGTCATTGTTTATTTAGCACTCGAGCTGCTCAAGGAACTCTCTGGGGGTGAACAATGCCAAAGCCAGTAAGGCGTCCCTGCTTGCAGAGTTACAGTCTATTCTAAGAAGCCAAAGCAGGGCACATGATTTACAACTTATCCCAATGAAAAACCAGATGTGAATTTAATCTCTTGATTACATTACATCCTGAATTATTTAATTAATGGATGCCTAGCTTGTTCCATGAAAAGGTCACAAATGTTGGGAACATCTTACGCAGCCTATGTAAGCATCTGTGAGGCAAGGCAGTCTCTTATGTCAGAAAGGAGGCAGTAACTACATTTTTATACGTAGTTTTAACTTCTCTGATTGTCCATGTGTACCATGATCAGTGTCTCCAGTGAGTCCTAAAATGTTGGTACTATCCTGTACCTCAGTGAACTAATCTTGATGTAGTGGAAAATCAGAAGACTGAGGGGGAGATGGACATTGATGAAGGGGCAGGGAATGCAAAGCCCCTTGTTTTAGTAGCAGGCACATTAGCTTCAGCCAGGCCTGCTACTTTTCTGTAGATCAAAGAAAAACTGTTGTCTTAAACAGGCAAGAAAAATAGGTTGGGTGGGGTTCTGTGAAATGCTGAAAAAACCCAAAGACTTAATGGAAACATTTTAAAATCCAGCTACAGGGAAAGGTTTGAAATGTATGTGTAACTTGACCAATGAGGTTAAACCTCTTTTCTCACTGTTTCATGTCAGCTTTCTTTCCTTAACTGTCTCTGGATTTTCAAGAGAAAAAACATGCAAATTTGCATTTGATTTATAGAACTAAGTGCTCTGTTAGCTAGTAGTAAATTAAAAGTAACCATTCATTTTTCTTTCAATAGGCCAAGTTGATAGAGTTCAATCCACTGAGGGCAACTGATGTTAGACTTCCAAGTGGAGCAGCGTTTGTTATTGCAAACAGTTGTGTTGAAATGAATAAAGCAGCAACTTCTCATTACAATATTAGGGTAATGGAGTGTCGGCTGGCTACAAAGGTAAGGCATGGCTTATGTCAAACTCTAATGAAACCTTCATCTAAATATGTGCTTTTTTCCACTGCTGACCAGTTGTGTCTTTAACACCTGGTTAGGTGCTACTTTAAGTATAATTTTTCTTTCCAGAACCAGACACCTCCATCTGCAGGAGCAGAACTCCTGCTGAGCTTAATGGAAGTCCAAGGATTGTGTCCTTATATAGAAGATTATGTGATTTAGTTCTATTAAATTTATTTTGTATTATATTTCAGTGGAGGAAATAAGTCTATTTTTCAGAAAAAAATATTCTCACTTAATAAGATAGACTGTTTCTAATTAAAGTTGCATAATGACAAATAATGGAAAGCAATCAGTATGGTCACATGTTTATATGTATATATGGCAACAGCAGTGTATTTTCTAGGATTTAGAGAACATCAAAGCTACTAGTTGGAGGCCTGGAAGTAATATTGGAAATGCTGAATAGCAGCATGTATGTCAGTGTAAAGTTAAAAAAGAGGCTTGAATCAAACCCCAACATTACATTGTACTGCCAGTTTACAGCTTGACATTATCTCTAAAATGTATGGAAATTGTATAGAAAAAATCTAAATTCTGCTTCAATTCTGGATTTGTTACATTCAGGAATATGTAGATGTAGGGCATAATTTGAGTTTTTTATGGGAAGACAGTGCATTTTTCTTTGATTAGAGGAAATGAGGAGTAAGCATAAAGATTCACTGGAGTTATTCCCACCATAGAGTGCTGTGTGAAAGAACAGAATTTGGGTGACAAAGTCTAGAAGAAAGTTTTGAAAACCAGCATGGAATTCCTTGCCACAAAACATTTGGCCAATATCTGATGAATATTCAGAAGTGCTTTGAACATCTGTTGGCATCATGATTCTATAAAACAGTAATTTCTTTTATGTTTTAGTTAGTGCTAAAAAAATAGTAGAAGACATGATCAGATACTGACAAAATGTATTATAAAATAATGTGCTGAGATATTTTTCGAGGAGGGAAGCTAAACCTCAGATGACTTTTTCAATGGGCTATAAACTCAAGTATAAAAAAAATAGCTGCATTTCAGTTGTATATAAGATGAGGTAAAACTAATAGCACCAATGACCATAGTTAAAGCTGTTGTCACTGAAGTTAATAAAAAGATTCTTATGCCACTGAGAAAACAAATATAAGGACCTGCCTATATGATAGTTCTGGTATAAGATAGATAGTCTGATAGACTATCTATCAGATAAGTCTGATAGACTTCTAATTTAGGATAGCTACTTCACTAAATATGTGGTTTTTAGGAAGAGCTTCTTTTGGAAATTTGTTTTTTTGCATAAGAAATAGAGAGCCTTCACAGATGATCTATTCTAAAAGGCAAAGTGCAACAATGAGTGCATTAAGCTGTAAGAGCTTTTGAAGTATTGTTCCATATACCAGATTTTGTGACCTGAATCACAGCTTTCTAAAGTGCTTTAAATTATTAGTCTCGTGCAGTAAACTAAAAAGGTAGTAAGGAAAGATCTTTTTTTTTTAACATTCCTGTCAGCTATGATGCAATCTCTAAAAAGGTACTTTTAGCAGATGCTTGATTGTAAGGAGACTAACAACATACACCTGTCTGTTTTTAAACATATGCTACCCAGATGGAAAGTTGAACACACTATAAAAACACGTTGAGCCAGGAAAAGAGTGTCTTTAGGAAGAGGTCACAGTGGGGTGAAGGAGGGCAGGTATGTAAGTGGAAACAGGGAAGTCTTTTAAGCACCATTAAGCTAATGGAACTATGAAATAACATGCTGGGCCTTAGAATAATGCTTTAAAAGAAATTCTCGTTGTAAGTGCCTTAGGATAGGCTTTTTTCCCCCTTTCTGCTTTAGGTAATTCTAGAATTTCATACTGCTTGCAGAAAGCTCTATGTAAGTAAAGATGCCAACACAATATATTCCTTTTGGCATTAATGTAAAACATTTTGATATCAGTCTGTCCTACACCAAGTGAACTCTTGATCATCCTCCCAGAATTATCTTTCTTAGATTCTGTTCCTTTTCCTTCCCTTCTGGAGAGTCATTCTTGTTCTCAGTTCTTTTTTTCATCCCTTTCTCTATTCTTGTAGCAGCCTCTGAGTGCTTTCTTGCACTCTGTATGTTTAAAGACACTTAAGTTCTGCAGAGCACTCACAATTCCAAAGACAATTACCTTGTACCTCATCCTTGCGAAGGCTCACCCGGTGGGTGCTGCAGGAGCGTCGGGGAGCGCCGCGCTCGGCCCCGCTCGCTGTGTGTGGTTCCCTCCACTCTCAGCTGGAGCCTGTGCCAAGAATGTCTGCAATTGGAATGCCATAGAGTTCACCAACTAGTGGTTGTTAAATGTGGAAAGATGCTCAGATGGCACTGTAGAAATGTAATGTGTAAGAAAGTGATGTTGCTACAGAAGTATTTCTGGACTTATTCCTAGTCAGACTTTCTTTTATTTATATTTGTCCCATCGTTTACCAAGTATGTTTTCCTCTCAGTTACTTACAGTGCTCCAGTGTGCCTGTTGAACAATAAAGGACAATAAAGCCCACAGATGCTATATCCTGGCAGTTAAGAGCCAGCTGCATGATGTCCACATATTTAATCCATCTAGTCAGAGATCATGAAGAAAATATCCAACTGTGGAAGCAGTATTGGGATTACTTTTGTACATTAAAGAGATGGGATTCTTTTTCCCCTTTTCTGTTCTGTGTCCATTACAATATGAGCTGCTGCAGCTAGACTGTTTTCAAAAACCATTTCTGTTTGCCCATAACATTTTTCCCAGTGCTGTTAGAATAGAAGCTTTGCTGGAATCAGGACAGACCTTTCCAGCAAAGCTGTGCCCAATGGCCCAACAGGGTCGGTTTCCATTTGGAACATTTGACCTGTAAAACCCCAGCCTAGTTGGCTCACCTGAAATACAGCATCTCCCTTGAAGTACAGAAATGGGAACAGATGTGACAATGCATGTGGTATATTTCTGCAGGGGATTATTTATTCAAAAAGGAAGTAGGAAAATTTTCGTTGCCTTATAGAACAGTATTGTTTATAAATTCCTAGTTCTGTTTAATTTCTGGTAGTAAAGTCTAGGGGATGCTGACTATTAGGATTAAAGCACAAGCAAAAACATTTCCATTCATTTAGCACCTTGGAGCAGATCTAAAAACATGACACAAAGGTGCACCACCATAAAAAATATTTAAGTAAAATGAAGCAATAATTGTTATTCTAACTTACCAGTAAGTAAGCTAAAATAAAGTTAAATAAAGGCTGTGGAGTTCTAGGTACTCAAGGCCTTTGAAAAAGAGACCAGAAGTGACTTAATCACTCTTTTACAAGAAAATTTCTCTCCCTGATTTCTGCATTAGCCACTAAACAGTACTGCTTCTTTCCCTACCATTGAACAGAGAAAATCATGTTTAAATGGCGACAGGGTTATATGATTAGGATTTTGATTGGATTTTGTTTGTTCTGCTCTGCTGAGCCTCACATAAATCTCAGCAAGTCACTAGATGGCACCAAAAGTAGTTAATTTTTAGATACTGTAATAAAGCAAAACTGGAGGAGCCTCTGCAAAGGCACTGTTGGAGAAGAGCGAGAATCTACGCCAGATAGTTGGGCAGTGGATCTTCTGCCTAAATTTCATGCTGTAACTTTGCACAGAACAAAGCAAATACATTTCAGACATGTATGTAAATCCCATGACTTTTTTAACCAGGAAGTTAAGTGGCTTTGCTGAATCGAGACACAAATGATTTCAAAACAAATCTCGCTCAAAACCAGCGCTTATTGAAAAGAGTAACAAAACACACTGGGTGAAATCTTGGCCCCGTTGATGAGAGGTTTGAACCTGGAAAAAGGATTTCACTCTCTGATCTTGCTGCACTGGTTTAAAGTCTTTGCAAACATACAGCCTGATCTGGCATACTTGGAAATTTTAATCTCAATTTAAATGGTGCAGAACTGGAGATGAACCATGTGCTTATGAACACAGTAAAACGACAGTGGTGTGTCCCTGCTAATCTGTGTCTCGCTTTGCAGCAATCTGTTGAAATTAAAGCTGATATGTCAGTAGGATCCCAGAGCGACCACTTAATATTCTTCCATAATTCATAACATCAAAAATATTTCCCCTTGTGAGGAAAGCTGCTTTGCTCAACCATTTTCATTAGGCACGTGAGAGCATCAACACATACAACAACTTTCCAGGGAAAAGCCTGTTTGGCATATTGCCTTTCAGGATTCTGGTGTTGAAGTAACTACTGTCAATTGCCAAAACATCACAAAGATCCACAGAGCACGATATCATTGCCAGCAATGAGGAAAGCAGATGCATCTATAACTAATTAACCTCACAGCAACCATGTAGGAATGGAACAGATTCTGACCGACACATCGTAATGTTCCTGTAAAGGCTCAAAAGTCCCTTTAAATTGAATATTAAAAGAAGGTACTTAAAATGTACCTTAAACTCTAGAGATTGAGAAAGGTTACAGTTATTCTCCAAACAAATCTTATGATCACTTTCATATTTTTAAGGCTATTATGAGCAAGGGTTTTAATGACAACCTCAATGTTCATCAGAAAATTCCAGGAGCATATTGGAAAGGTCAAACTGAGATTTAAATGTTAGACTGAATGCTAATGGTATAGAAATAGACTTTTTAAGGATGTTAGTGTTACAATATCACAGCATTTTTACAAGCAGTTGTCCAGATGGGATTGTAAAAGGTAAGTAAGTGCTTGAAGTAACAAAGCTCATGGAAAAGGATAAATCATTTATTTGATTCCACACAAATAATGCCAGTAGGATTTTTACAGACAGTATCTGATTGAGGGAAGAATAGCTGTCATTCACAGACCTTTTATAAATAAATATGATTGCCTGCTGCATACTGATAGAAAGTTTCTGATGGTTCCCAATTAAGAAATGAGAAGAGAAAATGGGCCCTAAAGGTATTTACAGATAATTAATTGTTCAAAACAGGAAAGTACAATATTTTCTGTTTGTTTGTTTGTTTGTTTGTTTAATTTCAGCTTCTCTCAAAGTCAAAAGGCTTGGACTGGAAAAAAATGCTGAGGCTCCATGATGTGCAAACCAAGCTAGGAGTTAGCCTAGAGGAAATGCTGACCATTGTCGAGGAGGTATTACATCCTGAGCCTTACAGCACTGAGGAAATTTGTAAATGCCTGGGAATTAGCCTGGAGGAGCTCCACTCTCAGATCCTTAGTCAAAACATTCAAGATGGTAAGCATATATGAAATGGTGGGCTTTACTGTACAATGTTTGTATTATATAAAAAGGTTATGCATTAATAATAGTGCAGGTGGAAGTCTTGCCAGAGTACTCACCCAGAATCTTGGTTAGCAACTGAAAGAATTGATATCATCATCAATTGATATTTTCATTCTAATTTGTGACTGAAAAAATAGAGCAAAACTTTGATTTTGATTGAACTGTTTCTAAAACGATGGAAATAGCAGATCCCTTAGTATTTTAGATTAGCCTATGCTGTTTGAGTCATTTCTAAATAACCCAGGTTGTTTTCAAGGGAAAAGTCTAAACTAGGCTTCCTTTTTAGGCAGTAAGTACAACAAAACTGAACATTTTGGATGGTTACAGAGTCATTAAAATGAAGCCTGTTTGCTCTCATTTAACTGGTGTTAAAGACCAGCACAGATGGGCTTGTGTTTCCGTTTTTGAACTGATAAATACCTGGTCACTTCCTAAAAATTCACTGGGCAGCAAATCATCTGGGTCTCTCCTGAGAAAGAAGTTTCTGTCACTATCAATATTTCTTTTTCTTTTAGGAAAATGTTGGTGGAGGTGAACAATTTACTCTTTAAAGTATTTCCCTTGTATTATTGTTTATGATTATACCATACAGTCATGATCATTGTCACACACGGAATGGATCCTGGAAAGGTCGCTAATAATAATGACTAATAAAGAATTTATTAAATAATTCATTTGCAATCATAACAGGTTTCCAATTGAGATCAGGATCTTTCTTTAAGAACTACACAGAATCCTTCTTCCTTGTTTCCATTCTGTAGCCTTAATAGCTCTATTTTTTTGTAGCTGACTTATATCCTTGCCAGTCCTTGCCAAGACTGCTTTCAGGAATGTATACATTTGATGTATATAAATCCATAATACAGCTATCTATACTGACACATATTTAAATAATCCATCTATCTAGAGTGACTGTAGGTTTTATATGTTGACCAAGGACCAGGTCCTGAATCTATAACCTGTTTTGCACCCCAATGCTATCAGGCAGTATGAAACTTTTACTGTCTAATTACACTGCCAGAGGGTACCAGGATGGACTAGGATATCTTAATCCAGCTCTTTATCTCCATAGAAAGAGTTTTGATAACTCTGTGCTGTCTGTACACGAGGAATATACTGAACCAGGTACCTGCACTCTGCAACATTGTCATGGGAAACTCCAGGGTTGTAAATCTCTTACGCTGTCTCCGTACTCTCCCCTTCACCAAGCAATACAAGACTATTCACTTACAGATGTTTATACTCCTTATACCTGCTTTGTAAAACAAAATTCTACAGTTCTGTAGAATCGAGTTGTTTATACAGGTTATCTTGATTTTTTTCAAAAAACAAAGTCTGGATAAAAAATTGAGACATAAAAGCTACAGAAGAAACTCAAAGGAAATTTTATACTCTAGCTCTGAATACCACTTGCAGATGTTTGCTGAACAGAATCTCTTAAACTTGCATGACCACGATTTCATTTGATAAGACCAATTAAAAAGGGTTACGCTGAAAGCGTCTTTGCATGTACAATATAAAATGAAATAACAGATTTCTGTAAAACATATGCAAAGAAGAAACAAGACAGACACAGAAAGAAAGAATCTAAATCCAGAGTTTGTTTTTTTTTACACAGTACATGGATTACGTGTTACACTGGCTTTGGAGAAGCGCAGGCTGTTTGATTAAAATACTTTTCTTATTTCCCCTCTGCTTTCCCACTCTTATTTTAATGACAATGCCTGGCTTCTTCATGTGAGAGAAAACATACCATGCAATCAGTAACCTCTGCAGAGAATTTCAGCATTGTTGAACTTCTTTGTTCAACATGAAGAACAAACCATAACATTTAGGATATCTTTCTTTCTTTGTATACATTCTATCAACTTTTTTGATAAAATATTATAATGCTAAAGGTAAATTATTTACGTGCAAATTTCCGTTTATATAATTTATTGCATTCTGAGTTTTTTCTGTGGCTGAATAGATATTGTCAGTAGTTTTAATTTTTTCTATTATTCAAAGCCCAGTTACATTATCTGGGCTTTGAATAATATCTAGTTATCATTACAAATACTGTTTTTTTGCTGGCATTGTATCTCATGTTTAAGTATTATTTTAGCCTTAAGTCCAGCTTTCCCTCCGCTACTTCTTCAGTGACAGTAACAAAGTTTTATCAGGATATAATGATGACCAGAGAGAAACTCTATCTCAAAGGCAAATGGTATGGACAGGCTTTGGGCAAGTCCCAGGCCAGGTCTGGAAGCACACAGCAACTTTGCATCCCTTTTATAGGCAAGTACTCTAAGATTTCTGCAGTTCCCCACTGTACAGCCCACTTGTTCCCCACGTTTGGAGAAGCACAGAGGGTTTATAAAGCCTCTCTAAACTTCTTACAGTTGTTCCTTGGCCAACTCAAAATCCCGAGTTTAAAGCTCCCTTGCAAATGTTTACACATGGATTGCACTTGTGGCTTCTGAACATCTCTAGAAAAATAATATTTATTACTTTTTAAGGTGCACTGTGCCATAACTTTGGCTTGGACTTGAGTGCTTCACAGAACTTGTAGTGTGTGGTGATTGTGGGACATTAAGTATTTATAAGCTTCACCACAAAAGGATATTTTCCTGTAAAACAGTGTATTCCTTTAACCATGAAATGTTTTTTTCTTCTTAAATGAGGTATTTTCAAATTCATTTTTCCTTTTTATGTATAAAATTGCAGTCTAATTTTGACATTTAAACCCGGGAATGAAATCGCCATTGGAGGAGCAGGCATCCATTTGCTATGTGGATTTGGCTGTTTAACTCCAGTTTTTCCCCTGGAAAGAGAATTCTAAGTCTGTGCTGCAGCTCAGTGAGTGGTGCTTGAATAGCCTTTCATGGGTATTGATGGTGATCTCAGTGCAGAACAGTTTCCATGTTCCCTGCACAGACAGGTGTAGGTGAAGGGGGTCCCGGGTGCTCTGGGAGGCGGCTCTGTCTGTGCACCAGGAGATGTCCTACATGAACAGAAGTTACCTCCAAACTGGTACACCTAAGAGCACTTCCCAGCTTAAGGGTCCAGGTGCCTACTTCAGCCTTGGCCTGATCCATATCATGGAAAGATTTGGGAACATACCATTCCCTTCCACAAAAACAGAGAGGTGGCTGCTCCAGGCCAATTCCATACCCGGAGGATTCAGGTCTTTGGGGTGTGCCAGAGGTGAGGTACAGGCACTGAACAGTCAACAAGGTTAGTTGCAAAAGCCTTGTTAAAGCCAGCATTCCTCTGGATGAAAAATCACTGAAAAACCAGTGGTTATCATAATCTTGAAACAGGTGTCTGCTAAATGGGTCACTGAATCCAGTGCTGACTCGTCCCCTGGTTTATTTTCAGAAAACCAGATTGCAAACAGTTACTTGAGCAGTCCCAGCAGAGTAACTGTTCCCCACTTCAAGTAGGGGGTTCACAATCTGGCTCAAATTAAAGCCATCTGGCAGCATTTTTTTATATACATTCTGAGCCAGAAACCTTCACCCTCATCATGTTCAATCAGCAGGATGTCTAACAGAGAAGGGTCCTATTCCATGGGAGGAGTGGTGGGAGAAACTGTCCCCTACATGATTTTGCATCGGTGAGTTTTTCCGGTTGTAAATCTCTAACAGTCCCATCAGCCATGTGCAGCTCATTAATCTACAGTGAAACGTATCTTAGGAAGCTGCCAAAGCAACTAGAAAAAAAATATATAGCCTGAAGAGGTTGGTCTTTAGCTAAAGGTCAGACAGAATTGTACAGGAAGCCTCTAAAGAAAGGAATCTGCTGAAGTTGAAGTTGTAACAAATAATATGAATTGCTGAGAAGCCACAAGGTTTACTTATAAAGAAAAAAAAATCCCTGTAGATGGAGGGGACAGGTTTGCACAGTTTTTGTAAAGCTAAAATTAAAAATATGACCATACAGTTGAAAATCCACAGTAAACATTTCCGTTATATTTAGTTAACCCACAATTATTTGGGACTAATAGCCCAGATTTTTGTTTATCTAGGTATTTTATAGGGATTTTGGATAAACTTTCATTAACATTATTCTGCTGGGTCTTAGGAACTTGGAAGGTTCTTGCTGCAGTGTGAGCTATTGGTGCCCTGAAAAACGGCACTTTTCTTTTAAGGGCATTTGGTGGTTTGTAAGGAAATTGAATCTATTTGGGTGACATGACAGAAATCCCCTGCAAAGGAGCAAACCTGAGGTTCAGAGAACTTGTAAATAAGTTGAAGTGGGAGAAACCAGGCCTTTTATTATAGTTTGCTGGATTAGGAAAGTATATTTACATTTTCAGTTTTATTACATAATTTCCAGACATTGTAATTGATTTAAGAATCCACATGCTTTTAAGAATTTGCTTTTTTGCTCTCCTTTAAGCACCACAGAGGGTGAGACCATATAACCCAGTCCTGTGCAACACTGCAGGGGTTTCTTTGAGGGCTTCAGCTTTTCCTCTTTCAGAGCACTCCAGCCCTAGCTCAGATATAAACTAAGCAGGAGAGGGCCCTCTGGTTTTGTTTCTTTTAACAGTGGCAGAGTATGGCTTAAGAAATCAGTCCTTTGTAATTGTCAAAAAATGTGACCCCGTGAAGCACACAGATTCCGATTAGTTTCTTCTAAAATCACAGCCTCCATAGTTCTCTGACACGTCCTATTCATTCAGACTTTATGAGGAGCTAATACACTGGCTGCGATATGGCAAGGAGATTCCAATATAGATGCAATTTTTGGAAACACCGTGTGTGCTCTGCTATCTTCCATTAGATAGAGATGGTTGGGTGGACTACCCATCCAAACAGAAGAGACAGAAGAGAATTTCTGTATTATCAGAGGCATTTGGTGTTGAAAGCTCAAAATACATGAATCATTTCATTACTTTAGAATAAGACTTAAAGAGTACAGAGGTGTTTGCTGCCCTGAAGATAATTTTGTCTGAAAAGTACACTGTCAGAGAGGAAAAGCAAGCTATAAAAAATTTTTTTAAACACAAACATGATTATTTTGAAATAAAATGCTGCCTATAACTGACCAACAGGCAACGTAAGGATCCCAGCCTTTAACCACTACTAACTGGGTAAATGTCCACAAAGGAGTCTGCAAAGAACAGCCAGCCACTCTTTCTCAGCCTGGAGCTGTCAGAAGGGCAGTGTTCCCATGGAGAGGGAGCAGTGTCAAGGTAGCACATTCCCCCCTGCCCTGGGAGGCTCTCCGGGGAGCCGGCGCTGTCGAGGACACGGCTCAGGCCTGGCCGGCCGCCACGAGCCCGAGCGCCCATCCCGGTTGCCAATTCCTAACGTGACGAGCACAACACAACCCCAGAGATTTTGAAGGTAATCTGGCCAGTAGAGCATTGCTCTACCAAAGGGTGGTCTCCGAATCAATCACAGCCTTTGGCAAGTCTGTTGCCTGACAATTGAAACCAGACATGTTTTCAGTTCATTCTTTGGGTTACTACTGTTCAATGGTGATTTACAAGAGAGTGTGAGCTATGGCAATCTCTCACGCAACTTTAGATATTCCCTAAACGAATGCACATTTAGAAAGCTCCTTGCTCTAAAACAATGGCTTATAAGAAAAGAATATTTAAAGAGAAACCATCCTTAAAAATAGGCCAAGCTGCCTTTCTTCAACATTCAAAAATACCGAGGCACCACTCTGCAAAACACAGTGCAACTAACTCCAGCAGCAATAAAATCGGAAACCAAAATATGCTCTTCCTGTGTGATACTCTCAAGTCCATGTTTCTGGGGGGCACTAAATTTTCTCATTTCTGTCCTAGTTTGAAATGCATTCAGAAGTCTTGTTCAAAACACAAGCAGCACAGGGTTTCTCAGTAGCAGGCTGTATTGAATTACAAAATAAATAGGAGCAGAAGCAATATCAGCAGTAGCAGAAGACTGCTATGTTCAATGTTTCTCTCTCATTTTAGACTACTTGTGTCTTTCTCAGCACTGTATTTTTAGCATTTATAGTTGTGAAATCCTCTGGAGAAATAAAAAAGGGATTATAGAGGTGCTGATGAAGTTTTAGTCTGTAAGGGTTGCAGCCTGGAGTGTACATATGAGAAACTTCATACTGGACATAATTTTATTTCCAGTCTTTTAAAGAAGATTTCTACACATAGTTGCAAACGTAGATTGCTGAAAGTGTCAGAAGTGGTTCCAGAAGTTTGCCGTCTCCACAGAACAGCCAAGTAGGAACTCTGTGTGTCTGGGTTAGACAGCAAGTTCTATTTTAAATACAGGGCTTGTCTCTCTTCTCCTTTTACTTCTATTTGAGTGTTTCATCAGCCATTTTTGAAAGTAAGAGAGACCAGGAGCTGAAATGAGGAGAGAAACCTCGCTCTAAAGGAGAATTTACATGTAGAAAGAAAACGAGGGATGTTCTGAGGTGCTCTAACAAGGGTGTGCTATGATGAAACAGTAGGTGCTCCACATAGAGGTTAAAGTCCACTTATTTAATATTTACCACCCAAACAGCTCAAGAAAACCAATTTAATCATAAATTAAATTATGTCATGCATGCTTTTGGTGAACAATACTTCCTTAATAGTAGCCATGGTATTAAAGCAAACAGAACTATATTGGGAGAGGAAAACAATGAACTACAGCATGAGCTTGGGAAAGGCAGATCAATTCTCAGATATTAGTTGCAAACCAAACCCTCCTGTAAATATGAGTGGCTTGCAGAGCCTTTAGCCAAAGCCATCTCCTTCCTTTTTATGCCCCATTATTCAGGCTTGATGAAGGTCTCTACCCTGATGGCCACACAGGTTTGGGCACCCCCCAGCCCTTCCCAGAGGAATGGCTTTTTTATGGCCCAGCAGAAAAATTTTAGCCAAAATCCTTGCACTAGTCTTTGATCTTAGTAGGTCAGTACCAAGCAGTACCTGTCTGGGCTTGACATCTCATCCACACAGGCAACACTAACACTCTGGCAAGTAACATACACCAAAAATAAACCCTGAAAACCAAAGTGAAAGCACCTGTGCTCTTCGCTGTACTTTAATCCAGTATTATTTACAGTCAGGGTAAGCCTGTATCATTGGGAAAATATTTGAAAGGGCTCTGTTACCTGTGCATCACAAAATAGGGAAAGAGCATTTTTGTTACTGTTTAAAAAAAAAAAAAGTGTGTTGTGGTTTTTGTGGTGTTTTTCTCTCAAGCAAAGGTCTGTCCACACAGTTCCATAATGCTGCAGATTTGGCCTGGAGCAGCCACACACCAGGCCCTGGGCCAGCAGGTGCTGGCTGACAGCTGCCTGCAGGGCACAGGGGACCCTCCAGGTGTTCTCCTGCCTCCTTTCTGCTGGGCTTTGAAAACCTGAAAGCTGTAGATTAATGCCCTAAGGCTGTCGCTGCCAACCCTTGAACTTGTGCCTTGCTTCTGTGAACACTATTTTTATTAGGGCTTTTAAAGAAGATGTGAGCTTTTGAAGAAGACTTTTAGCCTAGAAAGTTCTAACACAAAATATGAATTACTAAAAAATACAATTCTATGTTTTTGCATGTTCCTTTTGTAGTGGATAGTAACGCAGTTTTCCTTTTGTTTAGTCTCCACCTTTAAGTTATACCAGCGTGCAAAGCACGTGTACAGTGAAGCTGCCAGAGTGCTGGAATTTCAGAAGATATGCAGCAAAGCACCTGCCAATGCACTCCAGCTGCTGGGAGAATTAATGAACCAGAGCCATATCAGCTGCAGGGAGATGTACGAGTGCAGCTGTCCCGAACTGGATCGGCTGGTCGACATCTGCCTGTAAGTTCTGACCACAAGGAAGAGGAATCGTCTGCTGAGAATAGTGTTTGAATTGATGAGAAAATATGACATGGTTGGCTATTGCAATCTTAAAATGAAAGTATTCTTGTCTCTTATTACAAAATTAATCTCCTGCAGGGACATTACATGGTCAATTGTTTCCCTGCTGACATCTGTGTAATACTTTCAGATGAAAGCTTCAGTTTATGGCTTTATTACAGATCTTGCTTTTGGACTGACTCATCGTCACAAGTGTTACGTTAGACTCTTGGCTATTCCTTTTTAAGTTGTAGAAGAAGTCATAACTCATTTTCTTAAAACATTATTTTACTTGTTCTATTTGAACTCTTTTACTTCTTCTGTATTTCTTAGAGTTATAGCATCATAGAATGGTTTGGGTTGGAAGGGATCTTAAAGATTACCTAGTTCCAACCCCCTGCCACAGGTAGGGACACCTTTCACTAGACCCATCCAACCTGGCCTTGAACACTTCCAGGGATGGGACATCCACAACTTCTCTGGGCAACCTGTGCCAGTGTCTCACCACTCTCACAGAAAAGAATTTCTTTCCAATATCTAATCTAAATCTGCCCTCTTTTTGTTTCTTAACTATTTCAGTACTGCCACCAAGGGAGTGGCAGGGCATAAGCAAGCTGTTCTACAATCTTAGGTTGCCTTGAAATCATAATGAAATGTAGTGAAATGCTATTTGCATTTTTTAAAATTAAAAATATATTGTCTAGCGTATCAGATAGGTTGGACAGCATTTCACTATTCAAAAGATGTGTGTTAACTGTTACAAGAGCTGACACTGCTTCTCTCTGCACTGTGTCTGAGCTTTCCACATATTATTTACTCTCCATCTTTGCTCTAACATCATTCTCTTAGGTTGGATCCCTTCCTCAGTTTGGCCATGATGAAACAAGCCCTCCCAACTCCAAAGCACGTTCCCTGAGTGTCATTTTGTCCCTTCTCCTCCACACAAGGTTGCTGTGGCAGCAGGCTGTTGTTTTCATGACTCTGCTACAGGGGAGGATCAGATGTGGTACAACCATGTATCAATACAGAAAGTAAAAACAAGTACTTAAGTACTCACATTCTACACAGTATTTCATCCCTACCACAAGGTCAGCATGAAACAATGTACACATTTCAGTCCCTCCTAATTTTCATTTTTCTGGTACATTTATAATCATGAGACAGACATCTTATGCTGACTTTGATCTAAATTCAGTGCCTACAGAAGGAATTCAGTGGTTGGTGATCATTTTAACAGTGACTTGAGGGAATAGACAGTTGCCCACCTGAGTGCTCCCACCACTACTCCATTCCTGCCTCTGCCCCAGCCACCCTGTCCCTGCTGCTTCCTGCATTCCCATCATATCTCCTGGTGATGTCACCTTCGTATTCTGCTCCTCTGTTATTGTTCCTACTTCTCCTTGGAGAAGGATCTGCTTAGTTTGGGAAACTCTGCCCTAAGCCAGAGCATTACTGCCCTCCCAGAAGGGAAATGCAGGGTGACATAAGTGTTTGCAGGCCTCATGTCAAGAAATGTTGTTTCACTGTCTTTTAGAGGCAAATATCCCATCCTTTCTCTACATCTTCCAGTTCTGAAGAAAATAAACTGTTTCAATTTGAAGCTAGAACCCTCCCTCCCCCCAAAATTAATACCACCTATAAATGAAGATTACAGAAATGTGTCTTTACCAGCAACTGGCTTTTTCTTTTATTAACTAAGTAATTCATCTGGCTTAGAATGAAAATATGAATTTTAAAACCATGCAATTTACCATATGCTTTTTTACTTCTATACTCATATGGATTTTTTAAGTTGCAATACTCTTTTACCAGGTATAAATCAATAGAGTACAATACAGATGATTATTTAGGTTAGTTTGATTTCCTTTGCAGACATGATGGAATGGCCTCTGAGGCAGAAAGCTACAAACTTAAAAATTGAACAGAAGACTTCTGGACATTGAGAGATTACTTTTTATATGGGATACACATGCTGTTTTGTGATAAAACACAGAGAAGCCTGATAGCCATTGGACAGACTGATAGTAATTGAGCAGAACAATTCTTGATCCTTCTCGTGGGCTGTGTTCAGTTTATTGTGTCACATAGTGATCACATCACACAATAAGCTGTGACAGTCACTCAGCGGGGCAATTCCACCAGGGTTATCCCAGCTGCTCAAAGGAAACTGCTGATCCATGTGTGAGAAGGGACAACTATCTCCAGAATCAGCTGAACACAGAAACTGTGCTCAAAAATCTTGGGTAACAAAGTCTTGATCCCATGCAAGGCGTCGGCACTGCCTGTTCTGAGACACCTCTGACAGGGGAAGAGCCTTCAAACTTAACATCTGCATTGTTTTTAGGTGCAGTAACTACCCAGTGCTGAGAACTCATCAGTAGCACCCAATGACTGCTGAGCCATTTTAAGTGTCCTCACTTGGGTGCCCACCTTGGATCCTTCTGAACGGGCCTGTTCTCAGAAATGCTGGGAGAAGACTGTCCTGTCCCACGCAGGGGAAAATAGGCCAGGCATAAACTGGCAAGGTGTGCCCTGTATGAGGTTACCTGAGCTACACTGCAGTGACCCAGCAGGGCTGGCAGGGACAGCCTGTGCCAGTGCAAAGCTCAGCATCGGCATGGAAACTGTTTCCCATTTCTGCTGAGCTCTGTGCTTTCATGGCGAGACAGCTGCTGCCCCAGCCAGCCTGGGCATGGGGGCACTGGCTTGCAGGAGGTAGCACACCCACAGCCACAGAACCCAAAGGAAAGGAGCAGTTATGATTTTTCTAAATTAAATTAAACTTCCAATTCCAGGGAGCAAAATACAAATAGTAGAGGAAAAAAGTGATGTGTGTGCCCTCATTACATCAGATTTCTAATTTACCAGCAGAAGAGCCCACAGCAGTATGATGGGCAGAGCTAAGCACCACAGTGGAGTGTCATTTATGTGAAATGTTGTCTGATTGGTATATTAAAATTATTTAATCTGGGTTTTTTTATTACAGTCTTTGAACAGAAACAAGGAAATTGTTTGTTTGTTATTCTTTACAGTTTTGTCCCATCAAGAGTATTTCCTAAGAACTGTATCTTTCTTCTCTAGAAGTTTAATATTAAATCTTTTTCTGATTCAGTAATTAGATTTTTAAAAGTGTATAGCTATTCCAGATGAATGCAGCTTAAGCCAGCACTCAATTTTTTGGAAAAAAAATCTTAACTTTTCTCAAGTTGTACACTAAAGAAGCTAAGGGACATAAAATCACTAGTCACTCTAGGAAAACTTGGCTGATGTGATTATAGAAATGGCCAGGAACTACATAAATTACATTCTTTACTTACGACGATATACAGCTGCCCTGTAGCTTTAAAAAGCTTTTCCAAAAATACATTCCACAGAATTGCCTGAGTCTACTGCTGCTCTCTCCTTACAAGGTTTAAACTGTGAAGAATAATCTGCATATCCAGATGTTTTCTGTTTTGCCTAGATCTTTATGTTTTACTGCACAACCTCTGCCAAGAAAGAAAGGGATCCATACTTGCTGTGGTTTGTAGTGCTGAAAACTGTAACCACTAGTTGGTCAGGTTTTTCTTTTCGTTTTGCAAAGACAGAAGACTTGTACTTTTCTCTAACCTACCTCATGCTCTTAATAGTTGTTTTACCTGTTAGTCTTTTAAAGTAGGTAGCACAGCAGATTTACCAAACAATTAAGGGACAAAAAATTGGATGTGAGCTCATGAATATGTTAGGTCCTCTTGGAAATCTCTCTGAGTCCTTAGTGTTGCCCATAACTTTCTTATTCTCCATCTTCTGTTGCTAAAAATCCTGATAATTCTTGCATTCCCAGCCATGCCCACTGCCTGACAGACAGCTCGGATCACTTTTAAAGGATACAGTTTGTACATTACATCCAGGTGCATTATGGTGGCCAAGACAATTCTGTGTTTTATCAAGACTCTTACCATTACCAAAGATGATTTTCTTAAACCTGCAAAGCCTGCAGTCATGGCACAACTTGAAAATTCAACAAAAAGTTGTAGCCCTTTCACAAGGCCAGAAAGGCTTAAAGTTGGTATTCAAATGCAAACTAAGCTACAAAGCAAAATAAGTATAATCCTCTCCATTTATATATTTAAATCTCATCATCTCATCTATGCTTTCTGAAAAACTAGTTCATAATTTTGAGTATTTCAAATTTTCACTTCTTAACAGCACAATTATTTTTAAAATTAAACTACTGCAATGTCTTTCCTATCATTTCCATATACCAAACTATGGGACTTCCATTTTTATTCTTCTTCTTTTATTCTTCTCTCCTTTGCTGCAGTACTCATGTTTTTACTCTCGCTCACACCCCTATAAGATAATTCTCTTTTTATCCAGTGAGAACTGGACAAAGATATATAAACTCTTGAGGAAGCAAAGGCCAGAACCTGGGACTGGGAGCTGAGTGCCCCCAGCACGGGGCTCCAGATACTCCATTACCTCTCCCAGTATTCCTTGTCCTGGCGCTGCAGCACAGCCCAGGCAGTGCACAGGGTACTTCCCACACATGAAGTCCCAGGGCCCAGTGCCTGGGAGAGCTCCCCATCCACAGAATTGTCTGCTCAGACTCCTCTTCCAAAAGGCGTGATTTGGATGCCAGTGCACCAGAAGAGAGTGTCTGGCCAGGAATGCCACTGTACCAGAGGGGCCTGGCTCGGCACTGAACTGATTAGAACTCGAACAAGATGGTTTCAGACCTGTCCCAAAGACACCTTTCTCGTGTTGGATCTTAATACCCACCAGACACCACATCTCTTGCAGAGCAGAATTAGGTGCTCACTTCTGAATCCCTGTAATATAAGGTACCCAGGTTTCAGATGTTACAGCACTGCCCATCAAGTTCCTCAGCAGAAAACCCCAAGTGTCTGATCATATCACCACATTTGACACTGTTAAGCCGCAGTATTTTGAAACACAGTGACTTCAGCTCTGCAACAGGCATATTTTCTGTCTACATTATGCTTTATTTCAACTAAGTATTTTAAAATGACTCAGTAAAAATGAGGCATGAGCATGACCACAGAGAATTACGAAATCAATAAAAGGTTCAGAACAATTCTGAAGGGATTTCAGTTGCCTACCAAAATAAAAGCCAGACACCATCAAAAATGCAAAGTTCTGACTGAGGTAACAGACCAAATGAGTACAGACAGTTGATTTAGCAGACTCTGAAACGTGGATTGGGCCTTATGAAGTCGATGGGAATTACCTTATTGATTGCAACTGAGACTGGATTGGATCCTGCTCATTTTAGGAGGTTGCTCCATGGACTAAAAACTACTAAATTGCATCAGAGAATGAGTGGCTTACAGGAATAACAATAAGTAAAATAGAACACCAACAGGAAATGCAGAATGAACATAAAATCGAGTCAATATGAAGGGTGGCACCACACAGACACACTGAAGAAAGTGTTTCTGTTCAAGAGTTGTGTGTTTAGAATCAAACACATATGTAAGTACTTGCTTGAAATATGACCTAAACCTCTACTAACCCAGCACTACACCAGATTCATTTAACATAAAATACACACATGAAAAATTACAACAGCTCCGAATGAGCTGTCCTTTTCCAACACTGCTCACATGACGCTGCCTCTCCCTCTGACACACTCTGGGGCTGATAAATCTCTCCATGCCTGGCTGTTGGAAACACATCAAAAGTATTTGTTTGCAAATCAGATTAGATCTCCCACGAAAATGAGATTTCAGATGAGTTTTCTAAATCTGACTGGTTCTGTTCTGACTAGGTTAGAAAAGCCCCAAAGACATTTATTACATGGTATTTTCCTACTTTTTCTGAATCTAAGTAAAGATCAGGAGCACAGGTAAGCAAACTAATGAAAATAATTCTACTAAATTCTAATGGGATGGCATCTGAATCTTGCAGTGTAATGGCATGGGATTTGCTGTAGGACATTTCTAGCAGGCCAGTATCTTGAGGCTGGGAATGGTTTATATTTTGGATGTCATTATTTGTCATTGTTCTTTCTATTCACCCTCCTCATTAAGAGCATTTTTTTCTTTTGGGACGAAGTTCTTACTTTACCTCTACTGCTGGCAGTCTCTTAAGTTCATGAGGTTTCCCTAAAGAGAGATTCCTGACTGTCCATTCAGCAGAAACAGATGTTTAGGTGAGTTTATTTACACAGAGTGCAGTGACTCTGTATGGCTTTTTGAGTGTTTCTGAATTCTCCTTTTCTTGACTGCCACGCTCAGCAGTCCTGCAGAAGCCTGTGAATCTTCAGCATGTTTTAGATCTGTCCTGGAAGAATAGAGCTATTTGTCTTTGCCACATTAGAAAATGGCTTGCATGCCTACATCCTGTGCAATTAGTTTATGAACCCTCTTTTGTTATTTTTGTCATGTATTCCTGTTTTCACTTCTGATGTCTTATGAATGTTGCTAACACAGTTCCTTTCTTCTCCTGCTTTCTTCATCTCAGCTGCGCTGTGATCCTTAAAACAGCTGATGCTGGAGCATTACAAAACAGGGTGACTTTTGGAACTGACAGAAATTACTATATTGCAGTTTAAAGCGTCAGCACTTTTTTTTTGGACCACAATGGTAACTGCAAATTGCTGTAGTGTTGCATACAACCAAGTGAACCTCAGAAAAATCAGATGACATGAATACTCAAAACACATCTTAGTTTTCTGTATGCACTTTATATATGACAAAGCACCCCTTTTTGGTTTATTTTACATGATTTTTCTTGGGTTTTTTTTTTTTTTTAGGCAATTCGGGGCCATCGGGTCACGTCTGACTGGAGCTGGATGGGGTGGCTGCACTGTGTCAATGGTGCCTACTGACAAGCTGAGCATGTTCCTAAAAAATGTAAAAAAATCTTATTACCAAACGGATGGCCAAAGGTTAGCAGGGGAGAATAACAGTCTGTTTGCTACCAAACCTGGAAGAGGAGCTTTGGTTTTTGTTGAGGCCTAAAGAACGTAAAAATTTTAAAGAAACTATGTGGAGCATTTGGAACTGGCAGTACTTCCCATGCCACAGTAAATGAACGCCTCTTCTGGTTTGTATTGTAATGAGCAGTTGCTATTATCAAAATGTATTTCTGAAGAACTAATTAAAAGAAAACTCTTTGATTATAAAAGTCTTATTTTTTTCCATACTAAATATATATTTCAGTATAAACGTTGATTTACTAAAATGTATTGACAGAAAACTGAAATTGAAATAAAGATGATACTGTGTTACAGTGGCTCTCTCTTCCCTGTACTCCATTAAACAGAGGCTGTGGAGCAATGAGCTGTCTCAGTACAGGGAGGGACCTTGCAGGGTTAGCAGGGCTGTTCAGTGCTTTTCCTCTTCAAGTGCTGGACATTGTTTTGTTTAGAGTGTTTTGTAAAAAAGGAAGATTAAACTGAAGCATTCAAAAAATTGGAAGGACCTTGCTAAGCATTAGAAGTTTTATAGTCTCCACAAATAAGATAATCACTGTTGTCATTAATGCTAATATTGGAGGAGCACCTGCAGGCCAAGTCAAACATTAGGAATACATTATGTTAAGCAGAAAAACTTCTTCTAGTGATAGAATGTATATTTGTGCAAGATGACTTGGTATGAAAGTTTCAACAACAATCAATGTTATCTGTGAGTTGTACAATATGACAACCTGTTCCCCTATGAGAATGAACAAATAATGAAGCAATGTTGGATTTTGAAGTATCCAAATAACATACTCTAGTGGCTGAATCCCAGCTCTGCTTCTACATGGTAGAACATTTGCATTTTATGCAAAACTGTTAAAAAGGACTAAATATAATCCATTGACCATGTAAACAAGCAATTAAAATTTATAAGGAGCAATTAATGAGATAATTCACTTAGCTGTACTAAGCAAAAGGAAATAGGTAGGAGCAAGAGAAAATGTCACTGACATTACTGATACATTCCGACCTCGCTCCCACTTTACACCCCTCACCAACCCCAGGCTGTGACTGCTCTGACAGGACAGGCCACAGTAACTTGCTTCCTCAGGAGGAGAAATTACTGTGATTGCAGAAAGGTCCTGTACATCAGGAGCCCCCAGATATTCTAACCCTGCTTCCAAGGGGAAACTTATGTTCCTGTGCCCTCTCTCTTGCATAAACTGCCACTTCTCTGCTCTCTACAAAGAAAACCAAAGGCAAGGTTTGCTCATGTCACAGCCCTTGCAGCCATAAAAGACACAGCAAGAGCTGGCCCTGTGCACATTTTTGTGATGCTAAGCACAAGTTGATGTCCAGAAGTCTGCATCAAATTAGAGATCTCTCAGAAAAGATTTTCTGTACATTACCCTTGCTAATTCAGGCCAAACCCAAATTCTCAGAGGCTCCTGATTCTGTGAGAGGACTCTGCCAAATCTGAACACAGCAGATGAACAACAGCCAGTGCAAACCACCAGATCTTTTCATGAACCTCAGAGGGGACATGTCATGGTCATACTATCACTAGAGAAGATTTCTGGTTTCTGACAATCAGGAGAAGTAGAACAGAGTGCTTAGGTCAAGTAAATCAAGCCCTCTAAGAGAGGAGAAGGATAGGGTCTGAGCACAATGGGGAGAGATGAAAAGACTGCCTTTGGAGGGAGGACAGTTAAAAGGATGCATTTGAGAAGGGCAGAGCAAGGGATAATGGAGACAGTTCTGAACAACAGGCAGAATCATAGAATGGGTTAATCTTAAAACATCTGCTATTACCATCTATGAAAACTGAATAACTTGTAACCCATTTGTAATGTACAGCAGATATACTGTATATTGAAATCAACCTGTAAACATAGGACTCAAAAAAGTAAACAAGTAAGTATCTTCAAGAAGATCTAAGATAACCATAGGGATTTTAAAAAAAATAATGTCTTTGCTTTGTTACCAACTGCCTTATGAAATATAATCCTCAGCTTAATCCAGTGATTCCCATTTATTATCCTGTCATAAAAATGGAGTAGAACACAGTATATACTAGTCCTTTCATTAAGATATTTGCATTGAACTTCAGTTCAGCTGGATTCATGGAAGCACTAATCAGTGTATGAGCAGAATAAGAATATTGTTTTTCTTCCTGAGTTGAGCATGACACACAAAGTCATGGAATCTTCCCAAAAACACACAGGATGCAGTACATTTCAAAATTTTTCTGTCAATGAATCTGATAAATTATATTCTCATAAACAAAGAAAAGGGAAACAGAAAACTGGCACAGTATAAAAGAATAAAACCAAATGTTCTAAACTTCTGATAAATTTCTTTCTTTTTTTTATTGCTCCAATGTCTTTCCCAATAAAGTTTGGACATAACTTTCATTGAAAGACCTACAGTATTCAAACTATACACATAAGAAGGGCACTCAAATGTTTTTATTTACTGACTATATATAGGAAGTAAATGTTTCTCCTTAAACAAACAAAAATAATGAATCTCTGTTTTGGGTGGGTTTTGTTTGCTTTTTAAACCTTTGAAGACATGTTTCTACATATTGGTAAAACCAATGATGAGAGCATGAGAATGGTAAGCAGCAAAGATATTAATAGAATCTCTAAAAATAAAGAAGATTTTGATGAAAATTTCTGAGCATAAAGCAGCAGCTCATAAGCATATTTCTTAAGCAAGTCTTGCCAGATCTGCATTTTTAGTAGTTTTTTCTGACTTCCTTTCAAAAATCTCTTCTATAGCTAAAATAACACTAATTAGGATATCAAATCATGGACTCGTTCAGGTTAGAAAAGGCCTTTAAGATCACCGAGTCCAAGCGTTAACCCAGCACTGCCAAGTCCACCACAAATCTTTTAAATCCCTCCAGAGATGGTAACTCCACCACTTCCCTGGGCAGCCTGTTCCAGTGCTTGGCAAGCCCTTCATGAAGGAATTTTTCCGAATATCCAACCAATCTTCCCTCCTGCAGCCGCTGATAAGTGATGGGCAGTGCTCAGTGAGCACTCCCAGCTCCCCCAGTCCCCTCGGGTGGATCCATCCAGACCCAGAGACTTTGAGTGTGTTTAAGTTATGTAGCAGGTCACTGATGGCCTTCCCTTGGATTCTGGGGGCTTCTTTCTGCTCCCTGTCCCTGTCCTCCAGCTCAGGGGGCTGGGTACCCACAGAACAGCTGGTCTTGCTATTAATGCCTTCTTTGCCTCAGTCTTTAAGTGCCTCAGCCATTTCCTCAGCCTTTGTCACTATGTTTCCCCCTGCATCCAGTAAAGGTTAGCACGAGCTCTGGTTATCCATGGAGTGTAACTTTATCTTATTTAAATGCCTGGCTGTAATTCATTCAATCATGAGTTTAATCTTAGTGTGCAGTAAATGGGTTCTAAACCTTTCCAAAAAGGATCTGGAATGGAGACACTGTTAGACATCTGAGTGCAGCATCATTGCCTGGTGCCATATTAATGCTCTGTATTATCCTAATCCCATTGACATGTATGTCTTCATCACTGTATTTGCTGACTGTGTGTCTTGTACACAGGAACATGCTCATCCTCTGAAACAGAATGAAAGCAATTTTACCATTCACTCGACAGGAGGGGGTCATGGCAGCATATTTGACGTTTGCTGCCTTGGACACAGCACACACACACACATATGGCAACCTAATATATAATAATTACTTACATAACATTTTCGGGAATATTGGTTTCTAGTTAATATGATCTGAATGCCAACTCTTATTTTAGTAACTGCTGTGTACTTAGTCAGTATAATCCTTTTGAAATTCCTCTCCATGTGTCTCTTTAATAACATCTTGATATGTTGGAGCAACTGCTGTGCTACAGTTTCAGTTGAGTGAAAGATTTGTGTTTTCAGCTCACTACGAAGTTTATTTGTGTGCTAAATCCCAATCAGATCTGGTTAAAGATACACCCACAACAATATTCACAAGAACTGTCCTGTTCTAAACAAGATACCCTGCAAATCATAGCTGTTACGGGCAGGACCGAAGTAGTGTTCCCTGATTCTCGTCATTGTACCCTTGATCAAGACAAAATGAACTCCATAGAAGAACTTGCACTACAAAGTAATAGTAGCATGAAAACCAGACTGGTAAGGCTTAGTATCATGACACCCATGAACCACACAGCATATTAAATTATAGTTTAAATGCTAATTTTGAGATGGAAGGCTAGGTATTGATAAGAGAGAGTAGTTCACAATGCAGAAAGGACTAAAATGAGGAACTAAATAATACTAACTGATAATTAATACTGATAATATTAACTGATAATTAACTAATAAAACCAACTCATAATTGCTCCCTGTGATCCAGCCTTGTTTGACAGATTTTCCCAGCTCACAGAGGATTGGCAGAGAAAGCACTGCCAAGCAATATCACCGACACATCTGTCCTCCCTCAGCTCTGCAGTTCAGCAGCTCTTTCATCTAATGCTCTTCTAAGATTCAATATCTCATAAAACAGAGACAAAAGATTAATTCTGTTATTGATCTTATCTCTTCTACTCTGCCCTCTGCTTTAGGACTTGTGTCACAAGCAGTTGAGATTCTGCAGGACACCACAGAGCACAATGTTTTTGCAGGAGACAGGTGACACCGTGCTGGGGTGGATGGTGCCCAACAACCACCTCTGCAGTCTCTGAGGACAGAGACTTGCACTACCTGAGGACAAAGCTTTAGCTGTTACACTGAGAACTGCTGCTTCTTGAGCAGACTTCTTCCCCTCAGCTACAATTGTTCACCAGTAAAACCTGGAGATGAACATCTGGAGCCCCTGAAGGCTGCAGATTTGGTCACTGATCTCAGCATAAGGTAGATTTACCCAGCCCACACTCCCAAGCAAACATTTCAATCCGTACAATAACAAAGAGGGAGAGTTTGCACATAAAACTGATGTGCCCAAAATCTCACATATAATTTAAGGCACTCATACCTTATTCATCATAAGTGTGAGATCCAGTAATGGAAAAAGTGCAGAGGAGTAAAAATTGTTTAAGCGAATCAGATGGGAAGACACTAAAGAGCTTTCAGAATTAATTGATCGATAATGTGTTTGAGACTGATTTCCAATAGCAGTGCTTCCTGCAGAAACAACAAACTGGATGAGGATTTATACAAAAGCATTTGGTATATTTATTGGATTTTAAGTCTAATGCATTTTGAGAATTGCTATTGTCTCCTAAGCCTTATTTTGTTGGCCAAAATTACACATTAGTATTAAAAGGAAAAAAAATCCTCTCCCCACAAAAGCACGTCTTTCTGCACTTGGCACATGAG